GAGCATGTAGATTCCTACGCTTATAAATTTAAGCATTTGTTGTCTAAAGTTGATGCTGATAAAGGCATTCCGGCTCCTTACGTCATGAGGATGTTCCTAAAAAGGCTTCGAGGAAACATTGCGGTGCTTTTGTCTTTGGCGGAACCAAATAATCTTGACAATGCTATTGTAATAGCCCGGAGGATTGAAGCAGGTAGCCATTATGAAGATAAGAAAGGGCTAAGTCAGTCTTAAGGGTGGAAAAAGAATTGGAAGATTTAACCCTTAAACTAAAGCAAATGGCAGCTAGTTACGAAAAACTCACTACCACTTTAGCTGCTACAATAGATGCCTGTCTCACCCGGGATAGACTGCCTTGGCCACCAAATTCTAAAATTATTTGCTTCAATTGTGGTGAGCAGGTCATATATCTAGGAATTGTCAGTCTGAAAGGAAGTCAAATGACTAAAGAAACTCTATTCAGCCCACACAAATCCTTTTCCGTCCCAGCAATGTTAACTATTGTAGGATAGAGGATAAGAATTACGTTAAAAGTGAGGTTTTGGCTAATGACCAAGCCCGGTATCAACCTTATGCCACTCAAAAAGGGATAAGGCTGGTAAAGAAGTCTGAGTCAAAGTGAAAGGATAGGTTGAGGCGACATGAACTAGAAGAGCAGCCCCAAGAACCATTGCCAATGAATGAAGAGCCGTATATTTCAGAGGAGCCAACTGTGACTCGCTCTAAGTATAGAAAGAGACCATCTAGGGTGGATAACCTTGAACCATATAATGTTGTTCAAGACTTGTTAAATACTAAGTTTAGTGTCACTATAGAGCAAATGTTAAAATACCCTAACCAATGCCGTAATCTTGTACAAGCTCTTCGTCGTCCTAGGTTACCTGTGGAGACTAATTATGCCCAACCCAAAGAAAATTTGAGGACCACAGCCGCCCGGTGTTATATAAAAATTAGAGAAAATCCAGTAGTTGCAATCCTGGACACTAGTGCAGCTGTTAGTTTAGTTATCAAACCTTTGGCAGATAAATTGGGA